GAAACACTGTGTACCGCAAATATTTAGCTGTATGCGCTTCATAAATTACGTATAGAGTTTAACGTTTATTCAGAGCAATTTTCGACAAGAGTTATACTGAGTATAATTTCAAGGCTGACATCGGTGTTTTAATGCTGGTTGCCAAATAAATGAAGGCCTCTAATTTTTCGAAATTATGTGTATATGTCGGCAGTGATGTGATTGTCGAGGCGTGAATGTCTGGCTGGTTTTTATGACGAGAGATACTTCGTCTTGTCCTCATTCACCTCCATGCCACTACCTTCTGATTGAACTAAGTACAGCTTGGACCTTCGGTTTTGCTACCTGCATCAGAACGAAGAACTAGTTTCATTTCTAGGAAAGAGCAATATGGACGCTGTCGGACAAAGATGACAAGGCTATGGCGACTTTCGAGATAATTATTCTCCCCAAGATCTCTGGCTCTGTGTACGTAGGCGACGAGTGCCTAAGAAGATGGAATGACGAACTGTACGAACCTTTTAACGACAGGGATATAGTTAAGCGCATAAAAATACGATTACGCTGGTACGCCAGTGAAACGATCATTTGGCTCGGTGCCCGTGAGTCGACAAAGAAAGTAAGGGCCCCACGAACACAATGGAAGGACCAAGAAGGACCAGAAGGATCTGTTTGTACTTGGGAAGAACAACTGACGCAAATTCGCAAAGAAGAGAAGCCATGCCGGTCTAAGTGCGCTTCCTTCCAACGCTGGGTGAGGGTAGCCACGATATTCTAACCTAATATACAAGAAGAACAGTCACTTGAACCCGCAACAAATAAAGTGACTGAACTGAACACTATGAATTTGAAGCCACGGCTACCGGAAACGAAATAAATAAGCGGTTGAAGTCCAATTTTTTTTTGTATTTTTCTTCAGCTTTAATTAGTTTAAGGTCTAACTAATAAATTAATAAATCAAAGAATTGTTAATTACATAATATACATATTTTAATTATGTTAAAAAATACTTCTACTTTATTCTTCAGAACTTTATTTAACCATTATTTTTTTATTTCTTCGTAATTTATAGGACATTGCCATGTTTCGGGAATTTCTGCTTGTTAAAATGATCAACGCTGAGAAGGCCACTTTTCAAACGCCAATATTTTCACAAAAACGCGAGCGGACTTTGGATATGTTGATAAAAGATTTATATGAAGATTATGTGGGTGATAGTAAGCTGGTAAGTCGCGCCATAATATTTTTTAAATACCCAGTAATTTATGCAAATCTAATACTCAGTTAATTGCTGATAGTATAAGTAGAGTACTTCAATGCATTGAATACGCTACCTAATGCTTCCAATGCGTAAAAGTACTATTCGTTATTAAGTATATGCATGTAACTATGTATGTTTTACTGTCTCATCTGCACTAAATTACACTTTCTTATCTCTGACATATCGCCATGCCTATCCATCACATACACACTTATGTATATATATACCCCTTCGCTCGCTATCTCCCACACCGATTGCCACTGCAGAATATGCTAAATAGGACGCGCCTTCTCCGAAGTGCTGTACGATGTGCCGCGCACATCAAAATAAAAGAAGACGCGCGCCAAATTGAGTTCGTGCGCATTGGCCAGGCACTCAAATTGGAGGCAATAGTACGTGGCGATGCGCCAACTAGCATTGCATCGGCCAGTCCCTGTCACGATATTTCGCAAGCCACCGTGGGAGCCGCATTGCTTCTATCCAACTTTTCTACACCGCGGCACACTGGCAGGCGATTCAGTTCGGTTGCAACGACGACAGCTTATTTATTGCCACCGACGATGGCACATTTCTGATGAAAGGTAAAATTAATGTCGATTTTCTTTTCTGCGTACATACTTACTACATATATGTGTGTGCCCTATAAGTGCATGTAATATGTATGTATGCATGTAGTTGCAAATGGATACATATGGATCACATGTCATCGACAAATTTTTAATACTTTCGCAGAGGATCAATCACATCAACTTATCTTCGATAAGTCATTTCAAGTACGCCAACTCAGCGTAGTGGAGGACCATGGGCTTGTGCTGATACGTGGCGGTTCGCTAACTAATCGTGACGCACACCGCATGCATGTCTTTCGTTTGCGTGAATTCCAACCAAAATATGCAGAGGAGTCGCTACGTTGTCGCAGTCGCGCCGAAGTGAAGGAGCGACGCATCGAACGCACACGTGGCTGTCATTTATATGCGAGTTCACGTATTAGCGGTGGCCATTTGCGTTTAGTGGTGGCAGTCAACCGTAAATTACAACTATTCCAATGGAAGCACACAGCCGCCTGGGCGTCGTGGTGTCCGGAGAATGACACAGAAACGGTGGAGGGTTTCATCTTCCAAAAGGAAATCACGCTGTGTGAGTCGCCAAGCATAATTACGCCGCTGGAGGGACCGACTAACACTAATGCGGGTGGACTCATTTGCGTTGGCTACAAGTGAGTATGCAATTAGAAAGGCTGCAACGTACAAAAAAAAAGCGGGAAAGAGGAAAATAATACATAATGAATTTGTAACCAATTAATTTGCAATTAAATACTGTTGACAATTATATACTCGTGTAGAAAAAATAAGGGTTTGTTTACAACTCACTGCTTTCAGATATCACTACGAAATTGTGTGTGATCAAACGGGCACGGCCAACTAGACTCTATGACTTGGAGACAGCAAAGAGGAATCAGGCACAGCTGACGGCGGCCATCGAACTCTGCGATGGCTTGGAGACGGAACTACTTTTGTGCTACAATCGTAAGTGCTTAATTTAATCTAAAATAGCAGCATGAGAACTGAGATAAGCAAGAGCATAATTGGTACAAGGCTTTTCAATTGAATGGCGAAACAATTGGATGATAGAAAGCTTATTTTTTTTAGAATAATTTCAATTGTAAATTAAAAACAAAAACCAATTTAATAATAACAAATAGCAACACAGCTGTGTGGCTTTCAAATTCTTCATTAAAAAATTTTTGGATGTTATGAGCCCAAGGTTGGTCTCTGAGTTCTCAAGTCACAAAACAGCATGCTAGGATCCAAGAAACAAGGTATTTGAAACAAAACTAGAAAATTTTAGTTGTTATGAAAACTGGGTATTTTAAAAACGGATATGACAATGATTTCAAATATACCGGCAGAATTGAAAAAAAAAACTACATAATGGACAATAAAACTTTTCTTACCCTACCGATGTAAAAAATTCCGTCCTTTTGATGGGCAATTTTATAACAAAGAAAATGAAATGAATAAAATTTGATAGAGGAGATGAAAAAAAATAATAAAATTGGATTTTAATTTGTTTGAACATATGTATATAATCTCCATATTTTGAAAATCCCATGTTTACTGCGTTTTTGCTTAAACTTTCAATCAAAAAAATTCAAATATTTAAGAATTTGCAAATGTATGCAAAAAGCCGCAGATAGATACCAATTATGACTCACACAAACTTTAAAAGTGTTTTTTTTTTGTATTCTCAATTTTCAAGGTTAATAATTTTGTTAATTTTTTGTAAAAAAAAATTTTTTTTAACAAAAACTCAATAATTTTTTTGTCTTTTTTATCCAAAAATTGCTGGTTTTATAGCCCACAAAATTTTAGTGTAATAAAATCAACGCTTGCTAAACGTGCTAAAATTTGCGCTGATTTTTAATCAACCTTTGTTTGGCTGGCGACCTTGTGCAGAGTTTTCTATGTTTGAAACCCAACTTTATAGTTTTTTTTTACAAAATGAAATCTATTTTTTATAAAAAACTACAAAATATTTTACTTCAAAAACATTGCGAACATAAAAAAAACAATTTGAACGCTTGTGTGAGTCACTGTATATTCGAAATCAGCTATTCAAAACAACTCCTCAATAGATGACTGACATTCTTTCAATTGCCTAGGATTCAACAGCTTTCAATGATCCATCGGACGTCGAGATTATGACGAATATGCTTAGGTGCGGCATTTCAACGGTTTTATGGACGCATTACACTTCGTCCGATTCCGTACTATTAACTACTACATAGTGTACCTAGTTAAACTTAAGATTCGGCATTTTTACCTGTTTATAAATCACCATGTACTTTTCTACTATCTTCACAAATAACTCATTGTAGACTTTGCTAAAAATAAAAAATAATTAAATTTGTTAGAATATCTGTTCAAGTTCATCGGAACGAGTATTATACATATTATGCATTTTGGACATAGTTTCGCTTCGTCAAATAGAAATCGCAATTTATTGCAGTAAAATTAAATTATACTAGATTGTATAGTATGTAGTTGCATATATTAATAATGAAATTTTAATATCTGTAATCTAAGTATATATTTGTACTGAAATTAAATTTGCATTGTTGAAAATAGTTTGTACTAAATTTTTTAATGCTAATTTTTGCTGTTGTATCAAAAACAGGTGTAACTACAGATTATAGTATGTATTTCTATATTTTTAATGTTTTTTCTTGTAATTCAAAAACATATACTTCAAATTAAAAATAATTATTTATTGTTTTTTTTTATGCTGCAACTCTATTATCAAAAAATACCTTATCTTAGTGACATTATCAAACTAAAACATATATGAATGTGGTTGTGCGATAAAAAAAAAATATATATATATATTTCTTGCAAAATATGCCTGCAGTTCTGCAAAGTCATTGCATCATATGTTTCTACAAATTTATGTACAACACCATATCAGGCTAGCAACATTTTCCAGCATTTGTTATCGACCAAATTGATTTATGAGTTCGTGGCATTTGTACGATATATCCTACACTTTTTTGGACGAGTTTCTTATTTTTTTTACCAAGAATTTTTATAAAAAAGTGAATAAAGGATAAGAATGGATATTGAATCTAATATATTCCATCATTCTTGGCTGCTAATATGACGTTGTAAGTTGGTAAATAAACAAATCAACTCCAGTAAAGATGCATTTTTTAATCAAAGAGTCTGATAAAAATGCAAATAGTTAAACAACATTTTATGTTTTTTTTTAAGCTTTTATTTAGAAAACCTAAAAGATCTCTCGAAAATCAGACAAATGCTGGCAAGGGTTAAACTTAACGTTTGAAAATCCAAATTGTACACACGCTTTTTTGACATAAAAGCGGGGTTTATTAATATCTTGACTTCTTGATTTCCTAAGATTTTAAAACCGCTACGGGGGATATTAAAGATTGTACTTAAAGGCATCGCTGGCCTCTTCAAGTTTTATTTTCGCCGTGATATATCGACAAAAATCTATGTCAGTCCCAAAAGGTCCCTCTTCGTTCACATTGTGCAAGAGGAACTGGGTTTCATACAACAGACTCAAATGAATGCTTCAAAAAGCCTACCGTAAACTAAATAAGCAAGGAAATAAATGCTTTGATGATGGCTAAGAGGAATTTAAGGCCCTGCCTCCTATGTTATTTAGGTCAAGACAATGGAACGTGTGTAATATCTCAATGCGAATTTTTCTTTTATTGTCTTATTTCACAGACACCTGCCACTTCCAAAAGCTGAGTGACCGTGATGGCACGAAAAATGACTTCGATTTCCATTGGAATACTTCGCCCACGGCAGTTGTATGCGCATTCCCCTACATACTCGGTTTCACTTCGGACTCAATAGAAATACGGCTACTGGTGAACGGAAATTTGGTGCACACGGCCATGATGCCAGAACTGCAGCTGATCACCTCAAAACGCGACATATTTTTTGTTACCACAGCACCTGAATTCATGTCTAAGGATCTACACATTAAAGGTCTGCAAATAAATGAATTCTCAGCGTCAGAACGCCGTTTGGTCAACACACCGAGTGAGGCCTCGTCTAACGAAGAACTCTCACAAGGTGAACTGCTATGCTCAACTCCCAAAGATGTGCTCATAAACCCTGAACACGAACTCACCAATTTGCTGGAGATACCCAACGCAAGTATTCCATTGCCCCACATACACCGCGCTCGCTCGCTTCAAAAGACACACAATGTTTACGATGAAAAGCCGGTGATTGCCAAGAGTAATTCCTGCGGTGACACCGACAACCGATTTAGCGGTTTGCGCAGCAACTCCATCATTGCAGATCACCTGCAGCAGCAGCAGTGTGTGCCACCAAACTCACCCCGCCATACCGCTAGCAATGGCAGCAATAACGCTACCAGTAGCAGCAGCAACAGCAACAGCAACAGCAGCAAAGGTAGTCAACATTCGCCAATGTCGCCCACACGGCGCACATCAAAATATCGTAATCTCTTTAATAGTGTCGGAAGCGGTGGCGGGGGCGGAAATTCGCCCAACATCATCACGGATGGTGGTTGTTCCTGCTCGCCAGACCGTCTGAAACCGTTGCGCGTCTATCGCATTCCACTGGCCAAATTGACTGGCGCCCACTCACACTTTCACATGCATGCATTCAACGCAATGGCAGCAGCGGCAAGTACAACGACACCGCCGCATACAACACAGCACTTGAATGCATTTTCGTTGACGAAGCGCCAAAAGTCAATGGATGCGCATTTGTCATTGTCGATGAGCAGCAGTCCCGGTGTTGTGTACCACGAATGACAAATGCGCGAAGTGAAGGCGACTGTAGGCAGGACCGCATCCGCAGCTGCATCTACATCTGTCTACGCCAACCAGGCTCATCAGCTGCAGCCGCAAGCCAGATTAATTGCAAAGTCCTTGCTGCGCGAACAGAAATCAATGGATCTGCACTTTGGAGAGACGGATTGCACCAAGGACGACAATAAATTCCGCGAGGAAGATGAACGGCACGCTGATGAGGTGCCATTGCTGTACAAGGTGAGTCAAAAGCAATGACGTCGCGTAAGAATAAACCCGCACCATCACCGTCGCGGGAAGTGCAAATGTGGCTGACAAAAGAGCTGCGCAGGTTTCACAAAAATATCTCACAACAAAATTAAAGGCAAAGGATTGATAAGCAATGTATTTTAAGTAAACGGGCATTTCGAGGGATAAGTACAGTAAGTGTGAGGGAACTGGCGAGGATTGTAAAACACACATACATACATACATAATTAAGGACTATTTAAACAAAGCGATAGCTTGCCTTCCAAGTTGAATGCCACTTTCAAAGGACATTTAGTTAGTTTATCGGATTTTTTTTGTATCAGAATGTTCATTGGAAGCCGTCGAATAAAGTGTTGCCACAAACTTATTTTCTTGCATTAAAAAATTACAAACTTTTTGTGCTGAAATGGAAAAGACGTAAACGTAAACTCAAAATTCATCTGAGGCTGTTGCCATTACTAAAACCAACTCCTGAAGCTCAGGTTTCGTTCAAAATATTGCATTTTGGAATTCACAAATAAGCACTCTACAAGCATGATTGGTACACTCTCTAATGCATATAAGGGTCCCTCAGCATAGAAGCTCACCTGACAGGCTATCAGCTCCAGCAGCTTTGTCCTTTTTCAGCAGTCAAGAGTGTTTCCTCTTTGAGTAGAGGAAACGCTCAAGCCGTAAATTTTCGAGTCTAAGAAAGCCTACTTGAAAAGCCTTGCAGAGAGTATTTCCTCTTTGGGTAGATGAAAAGCTCAAATCATAAATTTTCAGGTCTAAAAAAAGTCTACTTCAAGAGCATTGAAGAGAGTATTTCCTCTTCCTTTATCTATTAAAGTTTGAAATGCTATAGATAAAGAGTATTCATGATGTTTTTGAAGAATCCAACTTCGAAAATAGGAAAAACAATTAATCTACACAGAAAACTTTATAGGGGCGCAATTAATTGTCCAATAAAAAAAATATTGATTAATCACTCTGGACTAAGGCAATTTATAGAGACCTGAAAGTATAAATTTGTAGAGGATTTGCACTAATCATGAAATGGAGCTTATAAAAATATGGCTACATCAGCGATCCTCAAAATAGCGCCCGCGGTAGGAACTCTTTAAAGTTCTCTGTAGATCAGCGATGGGCAGAGAGAGCTTTTACTCTGCGCCCGCCTGTACCAAATATATAGAAAGCTTAAAAGAGCTAGGCAGTGCCCATCGTCGTTGTGGATGTTATATGGTAGAAAATAAAATAAAGCTAAAATTTGGTACATCTACCGATAAAGCGGTAAAGTCCGTGCACTGCTCTGCATGTAAACCAGAGGTGATCCAAAAAGCGCCCGCGAGCGGAACTCTTCAAATCTGTCTGTTGATTTTTTAAGAGCGCGCACAGAGTACAAGCTCTCTCTGAGCATCGCTGATGTAAAGTGAAATCGCATCTCCATCAGCTGTTTATGTCACTATTTTTCGTTTGCAATACGTTTTTTGTTGAGGATGACAAATGTACGGTCTGCAAACTTCAAGCATTTCGAATCTAATTTTAGTCAAAAAATATTTAAGTGGAGATAATTTTTCTAATTAATAAAGGGCCTAAATTACGGCATTCGAGATGGAATCAAAATCGGATCGAAAATCTTTTTGAGATTACCGCATTTAGTAGTAGTAGTGTCATTTTATTGCATTCGATTCGAATCAAATTTCATTCGATGACGAGGGCCGTGATTCCGAACCAGTTTAGTTTTATGTATACGTTTGTTGGTGAATATTTTATTAACGTGATATATTTTTTTTGTTGTTTAAAAAAAAAAATATCCCATTTCGAATTCATATAAGGTTATAGCAGGAGTACAAAAACAAAAATTACACCAATTATATGAGTAAAAACTATCTAATATAGTTTCTTTAAAAAAAAAATGTACCAATTGCTACCATCTTTTTTTTTTTTTTTTTTTTAAGCACGTGCACTGATACAGAGCCTTATAAAAACTCTTTTAGAATTAATGTTCTNAAAAAAAAAAATTATTAAACCAATTGTACTTCGCACTTAGAGTTTTGTGTTATCCTGAAATTGACATGCATTTGGTTCGATTTTTTATTGGTTGCTTAGCAAACTAATGAGAAAATCAACCTTTTACCCATGATGGGGAGCTGAGGGTTATTAAGACTAAATATGTTTGGTGGCAGTCGCGAGCATGTTAAGTATCAAAATTTTACAAAAGCATAAGGGAATATTTATTTTATGTATACATATTCTATGCAAAATTTAATACAATACATATGTATGTATATGCTATAAAGTCTATGAAATGTTGTCAAATAAAAAATATAATATTACCTGTATAGATGTGTGTTAAATAGTAATGTTAAGCAACTTATACTGGCAACATATACAAATATTGTTTAAATACAAAACATATTCGCTTATACGAAGCATATATATATTTATACATGTTAATGTTAGTACCAAACATAGAATTGTTCATGTATATATATATATATATACATACATACATACATATAAATACAATGATATTATTGTTGTACTTTGCAAATAAGAAATATTTACTTAGATGAATACATACCTGCAAGAAAACAATAACAAAATTTAGTATAATGATGTCAAAGAGATAATATAACAATATTCTTATACATAAAAACGTATGGGCACACATACATTTGTGAAAACTGCAAATCGAGGGTATTAAATATAAGCCCTCGATGCGTATTTTGAAATGTGTATTAAAATTTATGTAGGAAAACGGAGCATACTTTGCAACACATTTAAGCTGCTGAGACAACCGGCTTCACGTAGCATAACTATACATATATCTTTNTGTATTAGCGTTTTACGGACACATTTAGAATTAAACATATGTTTTGTGGTGCATATCTTATAGTAGCTAATTTATCATTATTTATCTATTTACATAAATAAGTTTAGCGCATAAAAAATTAAGTAATTTTTCTAAAGTTTCATCTTAAACATTAACTTGGGCTGTTAAAATTTAATAGTTAAGTGGTTATTAATTTTTAGGCATTACCTACTTAATTTTTCTACTCAACTTAAAATTATAGACACATACAAACATATAAGTATATAACTATCATTTTCCATTCGCAACTGTGCTAAAAGAAAAACATAATATACATATATATAATATGTACCTAAATAAGGAATAAAGCTTAGTCAAAACTATTGGTTTAAAAATTTCACTTTTATTTATTGTGGAGATTTCACCTGTACAAAGGTATGTATGTATGTAGTAATTCAAAAAATTTTATCAACGTATTCATCGAAAAATGCTCCGTTTTTTTTGTTGTTTGACCTGTTGCGGTGTGTGTAATAAAATGTTAGCCAAACTCCCGATGGCCAGAGACTTGGATACGAAAGTCATCCTTAATTCGGTAGGCGGCACAGGTGTCGAGATATTTGAAAACCCCGCTTTTATGGTATGATTTGTTTAATGAAAGGAACCATTTATGTAATTTATGATATGCTCAGTGTTGCCAGGTTGACGTTTTGGTCGTCATTTTCAAGATTTTTTACTGCCATGACGATTTGACGATTCTCAATAAAAATATTAAAAATAAAATATTATTTGTTATTAACCGACTTCCAAAAAAGGAGGAGGTTATCAGTTCGTCGGGATATTTTTTTTTTTTTTTATGTATGTTACCGCATAACTTTGGACCACGTCAAACGATTAATAATAATTCTTTTTGCATCGGAAAGGTAGTGTCTTAGAGGTGGTCCCATACTAATCTGGTTGAGATCCGATCAGAGAGTCATGAGATATATAGATATATATTTTTTTTATATGGGAGTTGAAGTCGGTTTTTTTTTTGCTAAAAATTGCTTGTTTTTCTATAAAAACACTGCCCAAGCTTCAACCAAGAACATGTGGACTAAAGTTTTTCACTTAGTAAGAAATTCTAAGAAAAATTCAACAAATTTTCATAAAAATTACAAACTTCTACTTCTTCGTTGGGGTCAAAGGCCTTGCTTACAACGGGTGGCTAGCAAAAAAGATACTCTTTTTTTTTTGACTGTGAATGAAAAAATAAAATTTTATTTTATTCAAATATAATGCTTGAACAAAAGACTTAATACGTTTCTTAAAATAAATTCTATAGTTTAATAAAAAAAAGATAGAAATAATGACGGTTTCTCTACAAAAAAAAAAATCTCAAAAAATAATAACTGAAAACAAGACACTCGCAGTCAGACAACTGATTTTATAATGAACTGAGATATTTTGTCGCTAAAACATTAACTGCAAGTAAAATATATGTATATTTTTTAAGGCAGTCATTTGATAAATTAGGTTTGTGACTAGTTTTTTCTCTTGGCTGAGAAACTTAAAAAATATTTACAATATTCACAGACAAACAGCTTAACATCTAAATTCGTTATTCTTTTTTAACACTTTTCGCTTTATATTACTCAATACTAAACTAAAATTAATGGATTAAAACTTACATATTTTAGCATAGAAATCACATTCAGGAAACTTAACACTACAATTTTTTTTGCGATTTGACTTATCTTAATGGGTACAAAAATCGTGACTTATTTCTAAGGGGTCAGTAGGTAAGTATTTATGTAAGTATCTTTGGTATTTATGCTTCAAAAAACTCTTCCGATTCCAAATGCAAGAAAGAGTTTTTATTTGAAAATAGAAACTTTTTAGAATATGCTATGTGAAAATTTGAGTCCATTTGCGCGCTCACACAAACTCGAATATCTAGTACCTTGTGACTAGTTCAGAGCATGTTTTCTTTCCCTCAAGCTTTGCCTTTTGATGTCCTCTTCTCTAATTATACCAGCTTCATTTCTTTGTTGAACAAAAGTGGTTTACAAAAATTGGCACCAGCTGATTGATGCATTTTCCTTGTCAAAGTTGGCAATGTTGACTATCAAACAAATTACCCTTTGGCGCTTAAAATTTCAAATCAACATCCATTCCCGATTAATATTCTATGTGAGTGACAAACGCTTTAATGCACTTCTAAGCTTCAGACCTGCTGCATTCGTGTTAGTCATGATTATTCTGTATGTTTGTGTATAAAAATAGTTGGTAACATACTCTTAGTTACATATAACTAAGCTAACTGTATGCCTCATTTTAATTTGAGCTAAGTATTGAGAATCACTCTCTTTGGACTGCATTCACAACTATCGTTTTTTTTTTGTTTTGTTTGTGTAAAAAATTGCGCATGCGCTAGTCTACCAGTCATCGTCCTCATTATATTCGGAAATTTCAATGCGGAATGGTGTGCTGGCATTCTTCAATTTACGATGGCAGGTGCGACCCAAGGGATTGTGTTTCAAATCAACCAACTCCAAGTTATCGCTTGTGATCATCTCATCAGTGTCGATTTCTAAAAGTAATGAAAATACATATACAGAGCTTTTTTCAAGCCATAGATCATCTCAGCTATTCACTTACCTATAATGGCATTGTGACTGGCGTCCAATTCACGCAGTTTAGGCATTTTAAACACAACTGGTGGCAGCACAATAAACGAATTGTGGGAGATATTTAAGCGCGCCAAGGCATTGAGATCGGCCAGCTCATCGGGTAATTTGGCCATTTGATTGTGTGAAAGGTTAAGATCTGCGTGAAAGTTGCATTTAGTTTATTTGCTTTCTAGATTGGTTGCTATAGTTAAACTCACCTGTAATCAAACTGAATTTCAAAGCGAATTTGCCCGGTATCTTTTTGATGACATTGCTGCTCAGATCGCAAGTTTTCAGCTGAGTGTTGCGCATCAAATGATAAACAGCATCAGGAATCTGTACCAATTCGCACTCCGATAAATCTGGAAATTCAGATTAAAATTTGTTTGTTACTTTGGTATTTTTGCTAAATATTTCAATATCTAATTGAGAATTATGGCAACTAAAAGGCTGGCAGCATTTGGAAAGCAAACAGGTATACATACATACATATTTATGTACATGCTATGCAGATAAATTTGTACAGGTATGCATAAATGAGCGCTTCAGCCAGCAGCTGTTGTTATTTTGCCTTCGACGAAAGCTTATTTGTACAAATAAAGATACATATATATATTAGGGTGGTCCAAAAATGCATATAAAAAGTAAAGTCGTATTTTTAAGGCTCTCACCACCTAAGATTGTTCTACACCGAAAAAAATATACCCCTCTTATTTTTATTTTGAAATCAAAAAATATTTAGAGGTCGCTTAAAGCGCTCAAGGTTTTCTATGTATTTTATATGGGGAAAATCAAGGTTTCATAGAATTGGTATAGAATTCTGGAAAGTCAATATTTTTATACCGAAAACCCCTTTTTCTCTTCAGGCGATTCCCAGTAATAATACTTGTTTATTTTTTAACCATTTTTTTATAGTAACTATATTTTATATGTCCACCAATATTCCTAGAAAATGCCAGAAAAAGCAATTGGGAAGAATAAAAAATCTTTATCATTGAAAAATGGTTAAATATACAATTGGATATTGTCATTGGAAATCTCCTGAAGCGAAGCAGAGTTTTCCGATCGAAAAATAATGATTTTCAAGAATTCCATACCATTTCTACGGAAAATTGTTTTTTCCCATAAAAAATACATGGAAAACTTTGAGCGCTTTGAGCAACCTCTAAATATTTTTTGATTTTCGAATAAAAAAAGGGGTATACTTTCTTTCGATATAGAACTATCCTAAGGGGTGAGAGCATTAAAAGTCCGACTTTACTTATTTTGGACCACCCTAATGTACATTCATACAAACGTATGTATAAGTACGTATACAATTATATACAAATATATGTATCTAAATAAATGGTTAAAAAAATTTGCATTCTTTTTTAATTATATATGTACATTAGACTGATCCAAAATACACAGCAAGATCTGCTTTTTGGCAATTTACTTGCTGCCACAAATTTAACACAAACATTTTACTCATTATTTTTTCACAACGTGCGTGATGTGGTTACGAACACATAAAATTAAAATTTTTCTATATAACAGTTGATATTATCGGTTATGATAAAGTAGTTAGTAAAATTTTTATGTTAAATATGCATTATAATTTTTGGTTTGAAATTTCTGAAGGGAAATATTTTTATGCTAACAAAAAATATTTATTTTTAAAAATTATATAGCAATTCTATAAAAAAATTATTTTCCCCATATGAAGTCTTTTATAGAAAAATGTAAAGCCCCGGCGGCACGGTTAAATATTATTTTCAAAATAAAAAATACGGGGCTGCTTATTTCTGAAGGAAGGTGGCTGGAAAAAAATATTTTGGACTAGTCTAGTGTGCGTACATACATACATATGTACTCAAAATACAATTACCTAATGACTCATTCTCTTGCGCATTTTCGCAGCGCTCAACAACACGCACAACAGCATGTGCCATTCTTACCAACTTTTTCAGTGATTCTACGCAAAACCAAATTTCACAAAAACAAATAATTAGTTTTAAATAATTTTCACTTGTCCAACTATACACAAATACATATATAAGCTCTAAGTACTTATTTATTTTAATTTTTTTACTCAAAGAAAAATGTGACCTGGGCGCGCACGACACGATCAATGCGTTACAAATAATTTTATTGAGTGCGAAAAAATTCTTTGGCGACATTATACCCTATAAAATAATACGCTAGCTTTTGGTGAGAGTAAAAACTTAGAAGCAGAGCTAAAGTATGAGCGAAGAGACAAAAATAGTATGTTTTGATGCTCTTAAACAAATTTCTATTGTACGTTGATTCGTGCGAGTAAAAATTGAAATTAGTTCCGTTAACACTCTTTTTAGAAAAGATTTTGTTGTTTTGAAGGTGAAAAGGTATGCATCAACGGTTCTCATGAGCTTTATATATGCTATAACTATCTGTTGTTTCTGAAAGTTCCCACTATGTCTGGCCTTATAATTCGCGCCGGTCTAACTGGAAGCTCCAAAAAACGTTCGGTCGCCATTTAATTAATCCGTCATTGCCTTGAAAACGACATGAGTTCAAGCTTAAATATTTAATTTAGCAACGGAGTTCAGTCTCAACTTGCATTAAATTTTTTTATACTAACATTTTTTTAAGGATCCTCCATTGCATTTATTGAGGTTTTATGGGCCCAATTTTCATTCACCGCCGCGTCATAAATAAACGTATTAAAATCCCAGATTTGGTATAATATTTATATTTGGGAACCTTTGATTTGTGTCGAAACTTTAAAAAGAAACAGGCCACTTGTCATGGTCTACTGAAAAGCAACGCTATTAAAAAAACAAGAACCTGCTGACATCACGCAGTGATAAAGAATATGCTTTCACTTCAATTAAAGTAATTATAAATATTGCCTTTTTTCAATAATGAAAAAGTGTAATAAAATCGTTATATTTTATTAGCAAAAAAAATTTTTATTTTTTTATTCTTCACATTCCGCAGGGCACTCCTGATGATTACATATATTATTATTAGGCATTTCTAACAGGTCTGATCCAGTACTCCATGAACTTAAAGGTTTTTACACGAACCTGCAGGACGAAGTTACAGGAAAAATGATCCCGTACTTCGAAATCCAGTAAATGATAGCGATTTTGGGATACTTTTGTAGAGAATGAAGTTGCAAGATATTACCCGAACTCTTCTTCTGGTAAAATCATGAAAAGTGTCATGCGATAAGCTTTTTGACGTTTCTACGGGAAATATGAATTTTCTTGTTCTCGTACTTTTTGTTGTTACTCACTTCTTACTTTCACTTCAGAAAATAATTTTGTTGTTTGACATTTTTACAGGATTTTACACGAAAAGTATTGGATCGGAGGTAATATGTATGTGAAACAGACGATTTTGGTGCCGACATTTATTTTTAAATATTTTTCTCTTTTTCTTTGTTCAGTATACATAGTATACTCCCGTACGTCTATCTATTGGCCTGCCTTCGAAGAGACGAGATGTTAAGAGATGCCAATGAATGTACTTTTATATCCACAGTTAGCCAGTTTGCAGTTTGGCAAGCTCTTTGTTCAATTGGTTCTGTTTCAATGCCTTGGCATTCCGTTTTGCAGGAATAAGTATGGAACAAATGTAGGAAAAGCTTTTGCTATAAACAAGATAAATCAGAATGAATGAGCTTTTTGTATAATTTTTGCTATAAAATTAGCTAGTACAAAGACGAACACAAACACAAATGTACTTATGTACTTATGTACATTTGTACATTTTTTGTTCGTACTTTCTGCATACATATGCACATGTATATCGATGGTTTTCTGGAAGAATATCCGAACTCCAAAAATCAAAACTACGAGAGAATCGGTTTTACAATTTTTAGACATATTTTATATATATACATATAATATATATATTAAACTAAACAATTTGGTCTGAAAACCGGTCAAAAAATCTACATGTGGGCTGAGTGGCTCGTAGCACTGAGAAAAAGTTTTACCGGTACAAGAACCGGTTCATGATACAAATAACACAAAAATATGAGGACAATCCTTACTAAAGTAAGTAGTAATACTATAGTAAATAGTGAGGATTAGGTGTGAATTAGACAAGTATTAGGGACATGACCAGTTTAGCAATATGCAGTAGAGGGCTAAAGCAGCGCCATTTCTTTACTGATTTAAATTTTGAAAAATCCTACAAAAGCGAATAAAATTTAACTTTCCAATTTAAAAAACGTGTGGTAGGTAATGACGAATACATTGATTTCGTTTTTAATTCCAATGACAGTGCATTTAAATATGGCAAGACTTGCAAAATAATGCTGTCAAACGCTTTGGTTCTTAAAATGTGCAGGTCATTCAGTGCGTAAATTTATATATATATACAATTTAGATATGTAGATATGTATGTACATATACACGTACGTAAATAGCAGGTCGTTAAACTGAACAATTTTGAATAGATGCCAATTATCTGAAGAAAGTTGCATAAAATCAAGAGTCCGTTGCATGTCGGTCACATTATTTGTGCAGAACTGTGTACATCTGTTTGAATAAATTTGCATGTAGTATGTAAGCGTGTATCTATGAAGTGTGTATATCTTACAGCATTCTCAAACGAAAAAAAAACTCCGCAATTTTGACATAACTAAACAAGTAATTTTTAAGCAAAAACCACAGCCGATTTCTATATCCAATTATTCAACCAAAATATTGTGGGATCACTCTTTGGGTACCCAATTTCCGGTAAAAAAAAAACAGAAAAAAATATATAAATTGATACTTTCTTTCTTCTTCGTAATAGGTAAAAATTAGGTCACCTTTTATTAAAAGCAAAAATCCGTGAAACTTCAGAGACCCCTATGCATAAATTTTTATTTTGTCCATACGTTTTAAAATTTGTATTAAATACTATACATTACAAATCTCATTAGCTTGCCACGTATAGAAAAATCGTATCTAAATGCATTTCCACTGAACTGTGGACAGACGTGCGCCAGCAGACAAGACGTCTACTACGTCAGTGAGCAGAAAATGAGAGCACGAGACAAGGTATGACACGGCGTATTCATTATTTATTTAGTTGCCAACAACAATGAACAGCTGCCACCGACAACGGCTGTGTGATTTAGGTAAAACAAAAAACAAAAAAATAAATAAATAAATAAAATTAAATCGTCATCGCATTTGGCCAATTTGACGTTAGCCCTCAAGTGATTATTTGCGCTTGTACATACATACATATGTACGTATGCATGTATGAAATATAATTGCGGTACTTATGAGAATTCAAAATTCCAAAGAAAACAAATCAAATGTGAGAACTTGTGTTATAAATATTTGTGCGCAAAAAGCTTCAAAATGCGCAAAATAAAACAATGTATAATACATCGACTGCTATAAGCAAATGTTTATAGATATTTCTTACGAATTCGCAGAAAACAAGCATGCTTCGTAGAAAGTTACGTACATATGTACCTACGTATTTATGTCACTTAACATTTACACCCGGTCTTTGCGAGAAACCAAATAAGAATTTAGAATTCCTTATATTAATCGAAAAAAGGTCTCAAAATTTTTGACGGGCAGCCCCCACTAGAAAGCCGGTTATAGCTCCATATATCTTGCATATTATTTATGAACACTTTTGCGTCTCGCACTATGAAATAAATTAATGCGCATTTTTATTAATGTATATACAAAACGTAGTTAATTTCATGTTCATCATCATGCGTGGATTGCCTATATATTTTTGTTAGACTGCGTGATCGTGGCCAAGAATTGATAGCAAAAGTTTTTGAGCGATTGGCACACCCTCTTTGTTTTATTGCTTTGGCAGCGCGTGTGACACATTTTCCGGAAAATGTACATACATATATAGGTAATATACATATACAATATATGTACACGGTTAAAAATTTCGGTTTTAATTTTAAACTTTTTGGAC